ACATAGTGTGGATAAGTATGCATTAGGAATAAGTGTGCCCAAGATAGAAGCACTGCTCATTCTTATTTATGACGTGAGACCTTAAGACATTGTCATAACCAATATAAATGTAAGAACATGAATGAATACAGTATTCTTTATTATATTTAGGTGTCAGTGAATCAAAAACTAATGCAAACAAAAATAGTTATTATGAACTTTGTTTCTAGAAAACATCAAAATGCGTCTTCTTAGGCACATTTGCACCAATACTTGCCTACTCAGTGCTAGGCTGAACATTCTAAATGTGTGGAGCAGTTATTAATCTTCTGTGGAGGAAGTCTTATCTGTGGGATAGCTGCAGGTGGGCAGTAAAGGTGATATTTACCCCAGATTTCTGGAAAAGCAGTATAAATTGCAGATTCTCAGTATTATTGTGGGTGCTAAGTTGCTTGAGTCGTGTCTGACTGTGACCTGCCAGGCTCCTCTGTCCATGGCATTTCCTAGGCAAGAATGTTAGAGTGGGTTGCCATGCCCTCCTCCAGGGATCTTCCCAACCCAGGGATCTGACTCACGTCTCATGTAATTATTTGTTATGAAAAGAGATGAAAAGAAATGTCATGCTAATAAAGTCAAGTCTTTGCTTCACTGCCAATATGTTTGAACAAAGATTCAGGAGGTAAGCTATGAATATTAAGGTCCAAGTGTGTTGCACTGCTGTCAAAGCCGCTCAAGTAGAGTGAACCAGTGAATATGTCTTCCATCAGAGGAAGCAGGAATGCTTGTGGGTAGGAGGAGACAGATATACTTTCCCCCTCATACTTATTTTTGCTTTTGGAGAGCATATTTCATGATTTTTTTCATTCATGCCATGAAGGCTTTCATGGTATTTTGTTAAGTTGGAGATTCTCTGAATAGATGTCTCCCTTCCCATTTTTTTGTCAGTTTTATTTCCTGGGAAATTACTCATTGTATTTCAAAATAGTGGAAGTAAATCATCAAAGTACTGCTGCTTTTCAAAGATGTCATAAACAACTAACTATTTTAAATTTTTTTTTTTTATCTAATGTCTTCACACATTGCCGTAGGGTTTGAAGTTTCACTTCAGAGCCAGAAAGAAGGCCAGATGTCCATTGTCAACACTGTTGGAAAGCTATTGCTTATACCCTGAAATGCTGGGAATTAATCCACATTTTAGAAAGAGAGCACACACCCATGAAAACATCCAGACTCACTTTGCCTTAGTCACCATAAGGAAAAAAAGGCAAATAGGAGTACATTTTCTCTTAGTTCCTTTTTTTAAAAAATTTTATGTATTTATTTTGACTTTGCTGCATCTTCCTTGCTATGCGGGCTTTTCTTTAGCTGCAACTAGCAGGGTCTACTCTCTAGTTGTAGTGCACAGGCTTCTTAATGTTGTGGCTTCTTTTTGGATCAAAGGTTTTAGGGCATGTGGGCTTCAGTAGTTGTGGCTCTCAAGCTCTAGGGCCCAGGCTCAAGAGTTGTGGTGCATGGGCTTAGTTGCTCGGTAGCATGTGGTATCTTTCCAGATCAGGGATCAAACCTGTGTCTCCTGCATTGGCAGGTGGATTCTTTACCCTAAGCCACCAGGGAAGCCCCTCTTAGTTCATATTTATCTTTATACTATAAAGGTATGAGAAGTGGATAGTTACCAATTTATTTTTAATCACTCCAAACAATTATTTCCATTTCTTGTGTATTCCTACTAGGCAAGATTATAGTACAGTAGAAATTAACATGATAATATGCAACATACCACATCTTTATGGATTATCAAAATATTTGGATGTGATTTAAAAAAAAAAAGGTAGGGTTTTCCCACTTGTTCAGTATAAAGAATCTGCCTGCCATTGCAGGAGACACAGGTTCAATTCCTGGTCTGGGAAGATCCCACATACCATTGAGCAACTAAGTCCCATTTATCACAGCTATTGAGCCTGTGCTCTGGAGCCCAGGAGCCACAACTGCTGAGCCCACATGAAACAGCTATTGAAGCCCTCAGGCCCTAGAGCCTGTGCTCTGCAACAAGAGAAGCTGCTGCCATGAGAAGCCTGCATACCCCAACTAGAGAGTAGCCCCTGCTCACTGCAACTAGAGAAAAAAACAGCCCACACAGCCAAAAAAAAAAATCAATATTAATAACTTCTAGTATCAAGAGATCTGTTTGCCCTGAAATTATAGTTTACTGGATCACAGTGTTTGTGATCAATAAGAAATGGAGTTATTCCAGTCATAAATAGAATGTTCTCCAATATGATTCTACCAAAGATGGGACATCTGTACATATTCAGCATTGCTATTTTTGACAGCATCATTTATTCTGACATTCATAAGGGTGAAATGGGTTCCTATTAAAAGGCATTTCGCTAAAACCTCAATGCATTCATAAAACCAAGGTAATGAAGGTAAAGCAAAACATTACTTTGCTTATTTAACAAATACTTAACATAGCACTTGGTATGTGTCACCTAGTTTGTTTTAAATACTCTGTAACGGTCAACTCATTTAATCCTCATCACAACCCTGTTAGATAGTTGATATTACCCTTAAAAATAAGGAAACAGTTCAGTGAAGTCTGAGGTCACAAAAGCAGTAGGTAGCTAAACCTGCTTCCTAGCCTGCATTCTTATCCTGTGATCTACAGCCACTATCAGTAGCAATCTATGACGTTCTTTGTTTTCACTTCCTGCCATTGCACATTACCTATGTAACACTGACACTCCTTTTCCTTTGCATCTTTCTTGCCTCACTTTTCTGTTTCTTACACTTTTGACCGGCTAGAGCAGCTGGCCTATCTGTCCAATGTGCGTTAAATATAATTGGCTCAAATTTTTATTCTCTTAGACATTTGTCTAAAGGATCAGTTCAGTTCAGTCATTCAGTCGTGTCTGACTCTTTGTGACCCCATGGACTGCAGCACTCCAGGCCTCCCTGTCCATCACCAACTCCCGGAGTTTACTCAAACTCTTGTCCATTGAGTCACTGAAGCCATCCAACCATCTCATCCTCTGTCGTCCCCTTCTCCTGCCTTCAATCTTTCCAGCATGAGAGTCTTTTCCAATGAGTCAGTTCTTCACATCAGGTGGCCAAAGTATTGGAGTTTCAGCTTCAGCATCAGTCCTTGCAATGAATATTCAGGACTGATTTCCTTTAGGATGGACTGGTTGGATCTGCTTGCTGTCCGAGGGACTCTCAAGAGTCTTCTCCAACACCACAGTTCAAAAGCATCAATTCTTTGGCACTCAGCTTTCTTTATAGTCCAACTCTCACATCTATACATGACTACTGGAAAATCCATAGCCTTCACTAGGTGGACCTTTGTTGGCAAAGTAATGTCTTTGCTTTTTAATATGCTGTCTAGGTTGGTCATAACTTTTCTTCCAAGAAGTAAGCGTCTTTTAATTTCATGGCTGCAGTCACCATCTGCAATGATTTTGGAACCCCCCAAAATAAAGTCTGCTATTGTTTCCATTGTTTCCCCATCTATTTGCCATGAAGTGATGGGACCGGATGGCATGATCTTAGTTTTCTGAATGTTGAGTTTTAAGCTAACTTTTTCACTCTCCTCTTTTACTTTCATCAAGAGGCTCTTTAGTACTTTGTTTTCTGCCACAAGGTTGGTGTCATTTGCATTTCCGAGGTTATAGATATTTCTCCCAGCAATCTTAATTCCAGCTTGTGCTTCTTCCAGCCCAGCATTTCTCATGATGTACTCTGCATATAAGTTAAATAAGCAGGGTGACAATATACAACCTTGATGTACTCCTTTTCCTATTTGGAACCAGTCTGTTGTTCCATGTCCAGTTCTAACTGTTGCTTCCTGACCTGCATACAGATTTCTCAAGAGGCAGGTCAGATGGTCTGGTATTCCCATCTCTTTAAAAAATTTCCAGTTTATGGTGATCCACACAGTCAACGGCTTTGGCATAGTCAATAAAGCAGAAATAGATGTCTTTCTGGAACTCTCTTGCTTTTTTGATGATCCAACAGGTGTTGACAATTTGATCTCTGATAGATTGTCATTATTCCCTGAAAAGTATTTTCTGTAAAAGATTCATGTGTCCCTTTGATAGAAAGTAGTATACAGACTTACTTAAGATAGCAACTTTACTATTTAAATATCAACAAAACAGATCTCTGAGAATTGAGGGAAACTTTTCACATGTCTGCCTGTGAATTCTGGCACATTGTTGGATGTTTTTGGCTTCATACAATGTTATTGGGGCTTCCCCAGTGGCTCAGTGGGTAAAGAATCTGCCTGCAGTGCAGGAGACACAGAAGACTAGGGTTTAATCACTGGGTCGGGAAGAGCTCCTGGAGGATGAAATGGCAACCCACTACAGTATTCTTGCCTAGGAAATCCTATAGATAGAGGATCCTGGCAGGCTACAGTCCAAAGGGTCAGAAAGAGTAGGATACGCTAATCCAACTGAGCGACTAGGCACACACAAAGTTATTAGACATTTGTATGAAGCACATATCAAATTCTAAACTCTGTGACATGTGGGTGATTAAAATGCTGCTTAAAAATTTAAAGATTCTTTCCATTTTCTCTGTGCACAGACCCCTGATTATTGAGTTTGGTGTCACTCATGGTGATCCGGGTAGGTCTCCTACATGAAGTTTTTTCAACCAAGAGATCCTTGTTTTTAACAGACTTGAAGACAAAAATGAAATGGAAGATCTGCTATGGATCAAAGTCCAGCCATTATCTTAATCTGTGGCAAGAAAACACAGAATTGAAATACCAACCTATTTTATTCACTGAATAAAAAGCTTGTGGTTTTCAGGGTGTCTTGAATAAGTCAGTTATTCTTGAAAATTAAAATCAAATGCTTGAGGATCAAAGAAAAAGCAAACATGCCTCTTTATAATGGCACATCTCAGTCCCTGGGAATGATCTTCTGAATTAAATGTTGGGATGTATTGTACTTGTGTATCGTTTTTACTACTGTAAAATATACCTGAGAACAATTTTTCTTCTTCTTTTTTTTTCCCAGATGACAGAAATGATGCTCAGGAGAGTAAGTTAAGAGCCTTAATAGAAGAGCTGCCAGATACCCACTACTGCCTCCTCAAGTACCTTTGCCAGTTCTTGACAAAAGTAGCCAAGCACCATGTGCAGAACCGCATGAATGTTCACAATCTTGCCACTGTATTTGGGCCAAATTGCTTTCAGTAAGTTGGTGCACTTTTGCTGTTAGTTTCATCACATATGCCCTTTTCCTTTACAACTGCCTAAAATTACTGTGATGTAGAAGCAGATTTCAGACTAGGAAGTCAACCAGTTTATATTGGAGAAATTCCGTCTTGGTATTGGGCATTTTAGCATTTTTTTAATCCCAATTTTTGAGATGGAAGGTATGCCTTTTTATGAAACCATAATTTTTAATGTTTCAAACAACTTTATTTAAAATTCTGAGAATTAGTATTACTTTGACTAAAAACAACATTTAAAAATCAATTTTAAAAATTGATTAGAAAAAGAGGGAATGAGTTTGATATAGTATGTAATTTTTTATAAATCATTGCTAATGGGTAGAAAGTAACAAGTGGACTATGTCAGTGACAGAAAAATGTAACTTCAGCTACATTTGTTTTCTAGGAATAGATTAGAAATAAACTAATCTCCTTGGTAGGTGCTATATCACTAGGCACAAGAACTTTTCATAAAACTTCATATTTTCCTTGTTATTCCTCAAAGGTATTTAATCATTAATACATGAAATATGATCTTGCAAACCAGAGACTTTGCTTTTAGCTTTTCTTTTAATATCTCTGATATTAAATACATTCCCTCTGCTTATAAGGAAAGAAAAAGAAAGAGCATTCACAGTTTAAAGCTCTGAGAAATTCTCAACAAGTTTTTTTTATTAGTATATCTGCTTATCCACTCCATTAATTTACAGACTCATTCAGCTGCCTAGAACTAGTAATAGTACTGTCTTCAGAATGACTCTAAATATAAACTCTAGCTTAGATCATAGTGACTACAGGGTTGCAAGTTTTTTACAGTCTTCTGTGGAGAAAAGTTCTACCTAGAACAACTATCTCCTTTGTAATGTTAGAGATTTACATTTTGAATAATGGGATTTCATAGGATATATTAGGGTCTTGTGAATGAATATCTCAAACATGGTCTCCACTGTTATTCAGGAGCTCTATGGTAGTGAAAAGACTGTATTTGTTCTTTGTACACCTATCTGCAAAGTAAACCTTGGGTGACCTACATGTAAGAAACAAAAGTAGGAAACACTTTTGAAACCCTAGATTTTAGAAGAGGTGAAAATGAATCTGTAAATAGAATGCTTATTTAGTGACATACAGATCATACCTCATTGCTGATTTGCTGGATTGGGCTTGATCTGGAATTTCTAGTAACCTGCTTCAATTAGTCAAAATATCAAATAAAAAATGAGTTTTATTATATGTTCTTTTAATCAGTATAGCTTTTCAAATTTTTTATTGTGGTAAAATAAACATAATATATAATGTTTACCATTTTTGCCATTTTAAGTATGCAATTCAATGGCATTAAGTTCATTCACATTGGTGTGATCTACTAATTGATGTGTATTTCTAAATTTATGGTTATAGAAGTCACTACTATGTACTTTTCTTCTGAAATAAGGTATCATACTTACAGCACTTAGTGTTTATTGAATGTTTACTAAGTGCTGTACTCATTTATCTGATTGAGTCCAAAGAGGCAGAAGTGGTTTATTTTGAAGTTCCAATATTTAGAATAAGGAAAAAGTAGTTAGTTCCTGTGACCACAGTTCGGTCAGTGACTATAGTCCATAAATGTTAATAAGATCATCGGTAGAAAGTCTGCCACTTAAGGACAATTCTGTCATCATGAAGCACTGAAGGACAAATGAAATACTTTTCTTAATAACTTCAGTTCAGTTCAGTCGCTCAGTCATGTCCGACTCTCTGTGACCCCATGAATCACAGCACGCCAGGCCTCCCTGTCCACCACCAGCTCCCAGAGTTTGTTCAAACACATGTCCATTGAGTCGGTGATGCCATCCAGTCATCTCATCCTCTGTCGTCCCCTTCTCCTCCTGCCCCCAATCCCTCCCAGCATCAGGGTCTTTTCCAATCAGTTGGTTCTTTGCATCAGGTGGCCGAAGTATTGGAGTTTCAGCTTCAGCATCAGTCCTTCCAATGAATACCCAGGACTGATCTCCTTTCAGACAGACTGGTTGGATCTGCTTGCTGTCCGAGGGACTCTCAAGAGTCTTCTCCAACACCACAATTCAAAAGCATCAATTTTTGGGCGCTCAGCTTTCTTCACAGTCCAACTCTCACATCCATACATGACCACTGACTTAGGCGAATACAATGTATACATTGTATGGTCAGTAGAATGAGATCATCAGTAGATGAGGAAGATTTTTTTCCAAAGGGGGAAATCCTCATAAAGGCTGTAAATTTGAGATACAAGGTGATATTTTTAAGAAATCTACAATCATAAAGCTGGAAGAAAATACACCAGTAATATATGATTGGTGTTCTGGATACTAGACTTCTAGGTGACTCTTAATTACTATGTTTTCACATGGATTTCCAGTTACAGGTTATTAAATTCAGTTGACTGGGTAATATTATCATTGTAAAATATTCAAACAGTGTAGAGGTGTATGAATAAAAATATCCTTCAGTAGTTCCTCCCATTCCAACCTCTTCTCTCTAGAGAGAAAATTAGTAGCCAGTAGGTGTATATCCTTTCTGAACACAGCCATAAATCTATTTTAAAATATAAATGGGATCAAGGTGTGTATATTGTGAAGCTTGATTGTTTCTATGGTAGCACTAGAACTTTTAATATCAAAAGATCTATATACCTCATTCTTTAAACTATTAGATAATGGAAATTTATTCTAACTTAGCTATACCTCAATTGATGAGGGCTGAGGTTGTCAATTTTTTGATATTAAAACAGAATTATAGTGTACATCCTAAGTGTGCTTCTTTATGTACATCTCTCTTACTGCTTTGTGGAAGTTCTTTAGGTCTTCTGGAAAATAATCTTTTGTCTGTTATAAACATTGCAAACATTTTCTCCTGTTGTTTGTCATTTAGTTTTATTATGGTGCTTTATACATTTTTTAAATTTTAATTTAATGTGTCAACTCTTCCTCTTTTTGCTTATCAGGATTTAGGTCTTAATAATATTTCTAAATAATATTAATTATGTTGTCTTGCTTAATAGTGATATATCATAGAAACATTACAACACATATTTTTCTTTGTCACATTTATAGACTTTTTATGCTTAGGTTTTTACTTTCTCTAGAATTATTTTTGTATGTATCGCATATAGATCCAGTTTGATTTTTCTTCAAATAGATAGCCAATTGTTCCCAAATCATTCATTGAGTAGTATATCTCCTTGCTAATTTACAATACCAGCTCAATCACATATTACTTTCCTGCATATATGAGTTTGTTTCTAGTGTTTGTATGGCTCCTTACTGTTCTCCATATCTATACATTTTCCCTTTCAGAGGAATTTGGAGTCTCCATGGTAAGTGGTATCTCATTGTGGTTTTTATTTGCCTTTGTCTGATGACTAATGACATTGAATATCTTCTTATATGTTTATTGACCATTTGTATATCTTTGGAAAAATGTCTGTTCAGATCCTCAGACCATTTTTAGTTTGATTTTTGTCTTTATGATTGAATTGTAAAAGTCCTTTATGTATTTTAGATATTAGCCCCTTATCAGAAGTGGGATATGCATATATTTTCTCCTATGAGTTGTCTTCTCATTTTTTTAATTGTATTCTTTCAAACAGAAAATGTTTAATTTTGATAAAGTCCAATATATTTAATTTTTCTATTGTTTCATATGCTTTTAGTGTTGTATCTAAGGTTTTGCCTAACTTATTAAGATTTTTTTAAAGAGATTTATTGTTTTATCTCTTACACTTAAGTCTATGGAGTTAATTTGGAGTTAATTTTTGTGTGGTATAAGGCAGGAGTCCAATTCCATTCTTTTGCCTGTAGGTGTGCAGTTTTCCTAGTAGCATTTGTTGAAAATTGAATTGTCTTGGCACTCTTGTCAGAAATTGGTTAACTATATTCTTAGGGCTTATTTATGCACTTTTAGTTTTATTCCATTGATATATGTCTATCCTTATATGGTTTCCACACTGTCTTTATTCCTGTGACTTTTTAGTAAGTTTTTAATTCAAATAGTGTCCATCTTCCAACTTTGTTCTTTTTCAAGATTGCCCCTTTTGTTTCCATAATAATTGTAGGATCATATTGTAAATTTCTGCAAAAAAAAAAAAATAAATAGCCAGCTTTTATTTTGATAGGAATTCTGTTGACTCTGTCGGTCAATTTTGGGAGTATTATTGCTAGGTTAAGAATATTAAATTGTCCAATCCATGAACATGGGATGTCTTTCTTTTTTATTTAATTGGAGGCTAATTACTTTACAATATGGTAGTGGTTTTTGCCATACGTTCACATGAATCAGCCATGGGTTTACATGTGTTCCCCATCTTGACCTTCCAACCCACCTCCCTCCCCATCCCATCCCTCAGGGTCATCCCAGTGCACCAGCCCTGAGCATCCTGTGTCATGCATCGAACCTGGACTGGTGATCTGTTCCACATATGATAATATACATGTTTCAGCGCTATTCTCTCAAATCATCCCACCCTGGCCTTCTCCCACAGAATCCAAAAATCTGTTCTTTACATCTGTGTCTCTTTTGCTGTCTCGCCTATAGGGTCATCATCACCATCTTTCTAAATTCCATATATATGTGTTAATATACTGTATTGGTGTTTTTCTTTCTGACTTACTTCGCTCTGTATAATAGGTTCCATTTTCATCCACCTCATTAGAACGGATTCAAATGCATTCTTTTTAATAGCTGAGTAATATTGCATTGTGTAAATGTACCACAGCTTTCTTATCCATTTGTCTGCCGATGGACATCTAGGTTGCTTCCATGTCCTGGCTATTGTAAACAGTTCTGTGTTGAACGTTGGGGTACATGTGTCTCTTTCAGTTCTGGCTTCCTTGGTGTGTATGCCCAGCAGTGGGATTGCTGGGTCATTTGGCAGTTCTATTTCCAGTTTTTTAAGGAATCTCCACACCGCTCTCCATAGTGGCTGTACTAGTTTGCATTCCCACCAACAGTTTAAGAGGGTT